CAAGCTCCATCCCTGAGGTGGCAGCTTTCCGAGTGCTTCAGAGACAACGCCACCATCACTGTCAGATTCACTTTCTGCCCCATGATGTGGTTCCACACACGCGTCCTTCCTCTGTGGGGCGGCCTGGGAAGGTTTGGAAGCTGATGTTAACCTGCGAGCTGATTCCATGACTTGATGGGCTGGGCACAGCTATAGCGGTTAGGGCGGCCATCCTGTGGAGCAGGGGACCGGAGATGCCAGCCGCCCTGCCTGGCAGAATGGGGCATTGTGCCTGCTGCTCAGAGCCCAGCCTGCAGACGTGGGACTCAGAGCACTCATTGTTCACTTGGGGAAACTTGGGAAAACAGCAGTGAGAGAGGCACTCGGGCCTTCTGGAAGCCATGGCTGAGTCAACACTTGTTTATTCACCGAAATGAACAACAAGAATGAAAAATAGGGAACAAGATTTAAGTCAGAGAAGGATGTCAGCCAGCTGGGAGGAGTGAAAGCCTGAGCCTTGAGGGGACTGAGTTTGTGTTGAACAAAGAGGACTTTTAGGGGTACCAGTGGAACGTGGACTTGACAGAAGGGGCTTGTGGCCTGGTGGGCGTGGAGAACGGGGCATGGTGCCTGGGGGAGGTGCGCTGCCAGAGGAAGGCGGGTGCTCCGCCTGCATTTCTGTAAGACCCCACTGGGGAAATGGGGAGAAGATGGGAAACCCCAACTTGCTGTGGAGCTGCCGACTGTTGGCCGAGACGAGGGTCTCTGTGGCCTGGGCCGCGGCTCCCATGGACTTACATGGACTTACTCGCCGACTAGCAAGGGTTGGGTCCGGGCTGGAGTTTGTGGACAGCGCCAAGGTCACTCTGAAGGAGCTGTTGCTGGGGTGTCGCCCTCCTCCCGCCCACCTGGCAGCACCAACCGTCACTGTGACCGAGGCCTGATGGCCGCTGGCCCCTGAGGGATGGGGTGTTGCTGTGTGGCAGAAGGAGCGCAGGCCTGCAGGGCAGCCAGCCTGGCAGAGCAGGAGGCAGCTGCAGGCCTTCCTGAGGGTCCTGCCCTGGGGCTCACCCCGGGGAGGTGCAGGGCATTGCCTTCCATTTGAGCTGGGTTGCTGTCTCTTGCAACCAAAAAATGCCCTAATAGACCAGAAACTCGTTTTCAGAGCAGAGCCTGTAAGAAAACTTGGCAGTAGAGCCTTCTGGGACAACACGCCTGATTTCAGTCTGTCTGATTCTTGTCTCTTTCCTTAGGGACGAGCAGTAATCAGGGGCAGCAAGGGACCCTTAGGTAGACTCTAGAGAAAGCGAAGAAAAGAGGCATGGGTGCAATGGAACGGCTGGCGAGAAGATGTTTAGAAGAAGATTAGCCCGGGAAACAGAAGGAAATTTTTTAAAAATATTTTTATTGATTTTTTACAGAGAGGAAGAGAAAGGGATAGAGAGTTAGAAACATCGATGAGAGAGAAACATCTATCAGCTGCCTCCTGCACACCCACCACTGGGGATGTGCCCGCAACCAAGGTACATGCCCTTGACTGGAATCGAACCTGGGACCTTTTAGTCCATAGACCGACGCTCTATCCACTGAGCCAAACTGGTTAGGGCAGAAGGAAATTTTTGATAGAACTGTCTCTGCACCAAAAACATTCAAAACATATAAAGAGAGAAGAGCTCTTAGAAAAGACAAAATTAATCAAAGGAGAGAATGTGAGAAAACTAAGAAAGAAAAAACAAAAACTTTCCAAACTTGAGAGCCCAGTTAGCAACAGCAGGTGACAGGGTGGCCGTGGCTGAAAACGAATTGGTCCTCAGAGGACAGGCTGCTCGGAAGAACATGCTGCGTTGAAAAAACAGACAAAAACGTGATTAGAGCGAAGACCAGGACGGGTAGAGGAAGGGACACAAAAGCACACAGCTTCCCAGGGTAAAATTCAGTCTCTGGCATCCAATAAAAAATGACTAGGCATGGAAAGAAACAGGAAAATACAACTCATAATGTAATGAAACGTCAAACAAAACGGATGCAAAACTGACTTATATGATACGCTGTGTAGACAAGGTCCTTAAAGCAATTATAATTGCATTCCAAAAGTTCAAAAACTAAGGGAAACATTAGACCCATTAAGTACAGACAGGTGAGGTAAAGACAGTTAACTAAAAATTAAATCCAAGTTAGACTTCTAGAGTTTAAACTAAACTGTCTGAACGCAAGCACGCTGGATGGGATTAGCAGCAGAATAGGCATTGCAGAAGCAAAGATGAGTGAACTTGAAAACAAAACAGTAAGACTGATCCACGCTAAAACAAGGAGAGGAAAAGTACTTTTAAATAAACAAAAGTAGGAAAGAACATGATGGAAATGTGGGACAACTGGCAAAGGGCTGACGTCTGTGTAATTGGAGTTCCCAAAAGGGAGGGACAGAAAAACTATTTGGGGAAACCTAGATCAAAGTCTCAACAAATCCTAAGCACAAGAAATGTTAATAAAATTATACAAGGCCGCCCTAACCGGTTTGGCTCAGTGGATAGAGCGTCAGCCTGTGGACTGAAGGGTCCCAGGTTCGATTCCGGTCAAGGGCATGTAACTTGGTTGTGGGCACATCCCCAGTAGGGGGTGTGCAGGAGGCAGCCGATCAGTGTTTCTAACTCTCTATCCCTCTCCCTTCCTCTCTGTAAAAAAATCAATAAAATACATTTTTTAAAAAATTACACAAGGCCCATCATAATCAAATTGCTCAAAACTAGCAATGAAAAGTCTTATCGTTTGATTTTTAAATTTCTTTTTTGTTTTAATTTTTAAATTTATTTTTAAAAAACAACATTTAATTCTTAATATATATGTATTTTTATTTTTACATATACTTTTTATTGATTTCAGAGAAGAAGAGAGTTGGAGAGATAGAAACATCAATGATGAGAGAGAATCATTGATTGGCTGCCTCCTGCACACCCCCTACTGGGGATCGAGCCCCAGCAACTGGGCATGTGCCCTGACTGGGAATTGAACTGTGACCTCCTGGTTCGTAACTGGCCGGGCAGGTTTTTCTGATTAAGATACCTGTACCTACTGTAAGACCACAAAGATTATTGTCTACATTTTTCCTAAAGGCCTTTTTGTTTTACTTTTAACATTTAGATCTACAGTTTATCTGGAATTGAGTTTTGGGTCAAGAT